ATCGATTCTTTTTTTCTCTCCAGAAATGCGGACGACAGTGTTTTTAGATACTCCTGTGGCTGCAGCAACACGATCATTTACATTTTTAAATGGTATTGAAGGTGAATTAAAGTTTCCTTCTCTTCTCATAAAATCTATAACATTGGCTATTATTTCGCGAGATTGACTGTTAATCACGCAACCTCTTAATTTGCTATTAAACTCCATACTTAGGTTCTATTAAACTGTAATGAGCAAAAAACACAAACGAAAATAAAAGAAATGTTTTAGCGAAATTTACATCTGACATTTACGTCTGAATGAAATAGTGAAATACTTGATGCGCAGAGTGTACTTTCATTGCGTAAATCCGTCGGGATGCCTGTCAGTAGTGCTTTCTCTGTCTAGCCGTCGAAAGCCTCTAGAAATTTGATGAACTGTACATGTCAAAAACTTAGACAATTTGACAGAAACCCAATTTCCATAAGATTATTGCGGGGTCCTATTTCTGTTTGCGATATCGGTTACAAAAAGCAGTTTTTTCAATAGCTCCCACTTTTTCTTCAGCTTTTGTAATATTTTGATAAATATTTAGGCATAATTGCTTAGCTCTAGCGCATAAATGCTGTGTAGTATGACTAGTGGACGGTTTCGAAGAAGGAAAATATTAATCTCTTTAGAAACATCACTCTCACTATCATCAGACCCATCTCACTAGTGTCTTAAATGGTTCTAATTAAATTTTTATTGTATTGAATTTATTGTCTTTTCATGAACGGAAAATATTTTTTGATAAATTTCTAAAATTCTCAATAAAATCGTAAATTCTTTGATTCAATGCAGCAATAATTTGTAAAAGGTAAACTAACAAACTAATTAAGATTAGCAGATTAAATTAAAAGAGTTTGTTTGTGGGATAAGAACAAGTTAAGTAATTATAGGTGGTCAATGCATATATTTTGAAAGTCTTGGAACTGTTAGAACGGTTATTACTACCATTTTATACAAAGTTGGCCTGAATGATCTAAACAGGCTGTTGTGAAATTCCCTGGATGATAAAGAAATGGCAGTAGCAACTTTCGTAAATATTGAGGGAGCTTTTAATAATGCCCAAACAAGATTTATAATTAACACACTAGTAATGAAAGGGGTACCAGTAGTCCTGTGTCATTGGATAAAAGCCAGCCTAGAAGAAAAAGTAATAACATCATCTCTAAGCGAAGCTAAACTGGCCGCTAAAACAGAAAGGAGAACTAACACCCCTGCTTCAGGGGTACAATATCCGGAACCACATATTCTTGAATTCATCAAGAATTAACCTGATGGAGTAGAAACTGTGAGGTGTTTAATAGGCCTAGTAAGAGTGGGCTTTGAACCACATCCTAATTCAGATAGAGACAGAGATCACCCCTCTTCTGGCCAGTCCTAGTGGATCTCATAAAAAGGGTAATATCTGCAAACTTCTACTGTCTAGGGTATGCCGATGATCTGGCAATCGTCGTAAGAGGCAATTTCGCAGGTACAATATCGAATCGCATACAAACTGCTCCAAACATTGTTGACTAGTAGTGCAGAGAGGAGGAACTCTCACAAAACCACAATAGTCAACTTCACAAAACGAAAATTACTGACATGACTAAAATCATCAGTACTGAAAGTAGTGAAGATTTCATTTGCTCAAGAGGCTAAATACTTAGGCGTCATCTTTGACCAACGGTTCACATGGAAGCACAATATCCTTTAACTTTTGTCGTAGTTTGTGTGAAAATTGGAAGCTACAATCAAAAATGTCCCTACGGCTATATAAAAAAGTCATATGGCCGTTGATAAGCTACGGGTCGATGGTATGGTGGCCAAAGATTCGGCTAGCTGGAGCCATTTGACAGCTCACTGGTATTTAAAGGCAAACCTGAGTACCACGGGAGTCATGAGAACTACTTTAACTGCAGCTATAGAAGTCATGCTAAACCCTAACACCCCTACATATATTCATTTAATGCGAAGACATATCTATTACATACAGACTGCACAAAGACCCATCTCCCATAAGTAGTTTGCATGGACGTGACTATATATAAATAATTGGAGAACGTCCAAATAATAGGAATGCCTTCAGACGAAATGCTCCCAAAGTATAGCTCAAAAGCAATATAAAGTAAGTATACCTGACAGGGAAGCGTGAACGGGAAGACCTCCTATTCACGAAGAATTCACCTGTATACAGACGGCTTCAAAACTCATGAAGGTTTATGATTAGAAATATATAGTACCAAGCCAAAAACAAGGATCTTACTAAGCTTAGGTAAACATGCGACAGTATTCCAGGCACAAATAGCAGCAACACATCACTGTGAAAAAGAGGTATTAAGACAAAAGGTAAATCGAAAAACCATTGTCATATACTCAATCAAGCGAAGTTAAAGGAACTGCAGGTACACTTAAAGCTTGTGTGGGACGGTTTGGAAGCCCTAACAGATCTCGGTAGTCAATACAGACTAACCTTAGCCTGGGTACCAGGTCATAGAGGACATAATGGCAACGAAGAGGTTAATTTACTAGCCCAAAAAGGAGCCTCAAAGGCTCTTATTGACCCAGAACATGAACAAAGCTGTGGATCTCAAGAATGGTGGAAAAATTCACCAAGACAGAGGGAGCCCAAAGAGTTCTTAAAAGGACTATTGCCTAAAACTCACCGAGCATCTATTAAGCCTTGGGAAAAATACTAGAGTACTACTAGAAGGTCTATTAACAAGGCATTGTAGACTTAACAAACGTAATTATAGTATCGGTCTTACAAAAGAAACCTTGTACCGATTCTGTCAAAAAGAGAAGGAAACTGCAGAATACGTATTGTGCTTCTACGAAGGTCTATCAAGACTGAGATTCCTTACAAAAAATCAAGGGCAACTAGCTACGCCGAAAAACGACTTCCTAGTTTATGCAGTCTACTACAGAAGACCGAATTACTGCTGTCCTAATAAGAAATGTCCTATCTGAATATTTGTTGTTTGGCAGAATGGCAGACATATATTATTTATCTTCTAAATCCTTTTTGTGAAACTCTTTTACGTTTTAGTACCTTTACGTCGCAAATAGGACATTCCGATTTGGTATTAAGAGAGACAAAATGAAGGCAAATGCAAAGAGATTGAAAAAATTGCTACGTTTGCAGATAGGATCTTTCTAGTTAGGACGGCAGATTAGACAAGGTACTCTAAACAACGATTAAAGGAAATCCACATATATTTCTTTTTAATATCAAATATATTTCTTTTGCATTTATATAAAATATACAAATTGTTAACGAAAAATGTTCACATTGACAGATGACGTAATTATTGTTAAAAAAATTAACCACCATTTACATTAATCAATTTTTATAATAATGATAAGATATATTTTTCTAATAACAGGGATGTTTCCATTGACTTCTTTTTCACTCTTTTTAATTTGTCTCAGTCATGTTCTACCCTTTCTGGAAGATGGCATATCCCGTTCCACGACTTGAATGTCGAATATTTTATTTATTTCTCGAAACCATTTAATAAGATCGATCACGAAATACGAATAAGTCGAGTAGTTTTGAAATAAATTTATATTTAATGAAAGATTACTTGTAGAACAGAAGTTTTAAAGTCAGATTAAACCAGGTTAGGTAAAATTGGTTTGATATAAACTCGGGAGTCCCTCAGAGGTCAAATATAGGTCCCCTGATTTTCATTTAATTTATTAATTATATCTTATAATATTATAAAACCTTAGATATTCTGAAGGACTTCTTTTTGCAAATTACTTTAAATTTGTTTAAATAAACTAAAACATTAAGATATTGTGTTTCATTATGTTTTATATAGAGGCTGTTTCAGAATAGAGTACCGTAAATTGAAGAACTCATATTAGTTAACACACTCTATTTATTATTAACGACACATCCAACTAAATAATTCTGTAGCAGATAAAATGTGAGCGGTGATAATTCTATATGCGCCAATTTTGTTATCAATAAAAGTGATCAATTTGATCAAAAGCTTTTCTAAAATCTGTGTAGATCACATTTACTGAATCGAAAACATTGCAGTAAATTGAGTAAAGCAAGCTAAATTAGTAACTGTAAATTTTTTGTCATGAAATCATGCTGCTGTTCACTTATTCTTAAAAGTTTACTAAAATTACAAAGGATAGCTTTGGGTATATAATTTAAAATACAAGTTGAGCCACCATTTTTGAATACTAGACAAATGTTTGTGATTTTCCATATTGCTGGATATGAGAATTCAGAATTATATTAAAGATAACTGCCAATGGTTAAGAGGGAACATTTATACAATCTTTGACTAAGAAGCTTGGAATATTATTACAAACAGACGTCATTTTGTATTTTAGTTTTTTTTAAGCAATAATTATACCAACTTCTGATATACTATACAAAATTATATGAGAGTTAATAACTGTATCTGTAACTGTAACAAGACGCTGGAAAAGAAAGTTGCAAAGACATTTAAGATTGATTGAGGATTATCAAAGACGTTAGACTCATGTCAAACTTCCTGGTATTCTCGATTTGCCACGTTTTATACATACGTAAGACCAGAATTGTATTGAATCTTTATGAATCGCGTCTTCAGTGCTTTAAACATATGCAGCATAAGAAACTTTAATCTGTTGTTTAAACGATTATAATATGAAGGTATGTTGTAGTGTTCGTAATTTTTTCTGACTTTAATATTATTTATAACTTCTTCTGTATACCAAGGCCTATCAAACCACCAGGACTACATTGTTGCCATATTATAACTTGTCAGTGTCCTGTCATTTCAACCGGGCAGCCATTTTGTTTGGAATGCCTAATTTCATAAAATATCCCTCTCTCCACTAGGCACTGGCCCAAGATGTTCTTTAACCTAGCCTTAACTGGAACCCTACTATGACCTAACTATATATTATTATTCACGTTGTCTCTTTTAAATTTAAACGAAAAGGAAAATTCAATCAAATCGAATAACCCTTTCATTTTGTTACAGGGTCTGCAAGCTATCAGGTGCCCCGCAGGTCTGTACTTCGATATCGAAAAACAAACATGCGACTGGAAAGATTCAGTCAAAAATTGCAAACTGAAGAACAAGGAAAGGAGAATCAAACCCATGTTGTTCACGGAGAAACCAGTGTGTAACGAAGGAGAACTTGCTTGCGGAGACGGACAGTGTATAGAACGAGGTCTCTTCTGTAATGGAGAAAAAGATTGCCAGGATGGATCTGATGAAACCACCTGTGGTAAGTGAATATTCATCTTTTTGAATATGATCTTTATTTAGTAGACTTATATGTAGTTAGTGCAAAAAAGCACATTAGCCTGTTGGGTATTAGCAGTGGTACAGTATTTTTATATTTCAATTATTTATGGGCAAGACCATTTGAAAAATAAATTATAATTAAAATGTAGTGAAATATATATGGTGCTCAAATGCAAACGTAATATATTTCATTATATATAGACTAAAATAGGTAAAGAATTTAAAAGATTTAAAAAGATAAAAGACAATAAGGTTGAATAAAATATTTACATTAATCATTAAAAATTAAAGATCAAAGATTAAAGTAAAAGGTACATAAAATGTTTGTTGCTGTCGAGTTGAGCGGGTTGGAACATAAGGATTTATTTTTGTTAGAAGTTCAGTACAACTGCATCTGCCATTGATAATTTGGAAAGTAATGTCAGTATCTCTCTGTTTCCTCCCAGTTTCCAAAGAGGGGATGTTTTATAAAATTCTCTATCAAACCATACTTGCAAAAGACACCCAATTTATAGGCTATGTATCTAAGTAATTTATGTTGTACATTTTCTATGGTTCTGCTGTGCGTTATGTAATGTGGAGGTCGGCAGAAGAGCAATAATTTAGGTGAGGTCGGACTAGTGAACAATAAAGGACTTTAATTGTAGTTGTGTCAGTAAAATCATGTGTTAGCCTTTTGATGGATTTATGGGTGGGTAGCCTTACGTATGTGTTGATTGAAGCTTAAAGTGGGATCTATAATAACTTCAATGTCGTTAATTTTAATAACAGACTCCAAGATATGACCATTTAAGTTATAATCAAAAGTACTAGTTGATATATAGGATCGATAAAAGAGCATGACATGGCACTTTATGGCATTCAAGTCCATGCCATTTAAGGAACACCAGTTTTATAGATTATCAAGGTCAAACTGAAACCAGAGTGCATCATAAATAGTTTTAATAATTAGGAAAACTTTTAAATCATCTGCAAACAATAGTGCTTTGCCAAACTGAAAACAATGAATGATGTCATTTATAAATTAGTTGGATAATAAGGGACCAAGATGTGATCCTTGAGGAACACCTTTGGTAACTTGAAATGAGTTAGAATAGTGATGATTTACTCTAACTATTTGAGTTCTGTTCGTAAGATAACTACTAATCCATTGCAGTTCGAGCCCATTTATGTCATATTTATCGAGCTGTTAAAGTAAGAGAGAATGGTTGACCCTGTCAAAAACCTTAGGAAAGTCAGTGTACACAGACTCAATCTGGCAACCCAAAGCTTCCTACAGGAAGTCGACGTAGATTTAATTTAGTCGATTTCCCAGTACAAAAACCATATTGATGATCCGTTATGATACCAGAGCAGTCATAGGTAAGGTAGTCTGTTATAATGTTCTCAAAAACCTTAGGTATAGTACTGAGAATAGATATAGGATGGTATATTTTGTGTATGACATATTTTATGGGTAATTTAAATTATATACGGTGTAAATAGTTTTTTTTGCGGAGGAAGCCTACTCAATTCTCAGAGTAACAAGTTTTGGCTAATTCTGTTATTTAGCCTTTTTACACTAAGTAAAGAACACTACACTAATTAAAGTTTTACCGATAAAGGCCTATCACACGCAACACACGTAAGTTGATATTCCTTTGACATGAGGAGTAATTAGGTGGTACAGGTATGCCCAAATCAGGGATCCCAGATGTACTGAGCTTAAATTTGTGAGGTTGATCATGAAAAAATCGTGAGATTCTACTACGCATGCGCAGTTTAGCGAAATATATATAATACTTTCGACTTTTATGTACTTTGTCCGAGCGAAGAGCAAGGAATCGCTGACTTTTAAATCTCAGTACCTTTCTAACACGTATGATAACGACAAAAAATAATTAGCAATAGCACTATCGATATTATCGATAGTGTGTTACTTTCGAAAACTATCGATTGTTTTAATAAATCATCGATAGTTTAAATTTACTTGTTTTTAGTAGTTTTCAAGTTCATTTTCTCGGAATTCGTTCAAGAAAACACAAATTAAAAATACACCAAGAATGCACTCAACAAATTCAGCACTAGATAATAAATATGTTTTAAAGATTTTTATAACAAATTTTTTAACATACGCACGTCTTGTGATGTAAAATACCCAAGTATTTATTTTTGCTGGAAAATTCCAGGGAAAACACCCTAAAATATTTACCCAAAATGGGTAAATTTCTCGATATCTATTAACTTATTGTAATTAAAACATTTATTTCACAATATCTGAATTGTTTGAATCAGATTGGTTGGACATTAGAAATGCATCGTCCAATCCTTGTATGTGAACTTTGAAATCCACTTCCTCGGGGACATCAAACTCTGACTTTGACGGATCAGCTGTAACTGTTTCATTGACCATTTCAGCAACAGAAAATCTGTAGTTCACTTTTATTAATAAGCTTCCAATTGTAGGCTAAGTAAGTAATTTTGGCAGCACTTTCTGTAGTCAATCGATTTGTTTTTATATACTATGGATCCAGTTGAAAGTGCTCAAGGATTATTCAGTAACAGCAAAAGTTACAGGTACACTCAGAATCCTAATTGCAACGTCTGCTAATATATTAGATGAAACCTTTTCGACCAAAGGCCTTCCTTATCTCTATAATCTGCTAGAAGACCTTTAATTTCCCCTATTTTTAGTCCCAATCCGATTTTTGTAGCTGTGTCAATTAAAAATTCTACGACATCCATTAGTTTTTCTGTAGTCAATTGACCTAGGAGGATGGATCCAACATGCTTGCAGCTAAATGTATTTTTCCTATTGCAAAACCTTTTCTTGCGCTCATTTTTTCAGTACCAAAGTTTCCTCCAGTAAAGACTGAGGTAGCAACTCAGAACTTGTTCTAGATTCTTTAGTTGAGAATGAATGACATGATTTGGAGGTTTCTTGGATTGAATCATATCAACCCTAAAAATATGACCGAAAGTAACGTATATCGTCCCATGGGCTGCTAAACTCATAACAGCCCGATTTTGTAGTTTTTCACTAGATATCTAGATACCTTTGAATGTCACGTATTTTGACACATAAATTTTGATTAAACGTCAGTGTAAGTCTATTAGTAAACAAAAATAGTCATTCAGACATTGACGAAGAATTTATAAATATTACCAAACTTGCAAGAAGAAGCCAACAATGTTTCTTTAAATTTACTATCTACTATGTCAAGAGAACGGTACGAAAAGTACTATGAATTGTTTAACAACTGGAAAAATAGTAAAAAAGCAAAAACCTAACTGAAAATGTAGTACTTGAGGTCAAAGATTGTAAATGCAGGTACAAAGATTTTCGTTATATTTTCCTTTTCTTTGTTTTTTATGGTAGGCGAAAAACAATTGTGTGTCACACATGCAGAAAACGCTTTAGTAGCCTTTAGCTAACAGCTGCTCTCACTTCGCTCGCTCATGCAGCTAATAGCCGTGGGCTGCTAAAGCTCATTTTCTGCCCTTGTGACACAATATACTATTATATAATTTTGTCAACTTGTACCCAAAATATAGAGTCGTTAAGTAATAAAGTTTTTAGTTGTTTGATAGTGTTACAGATACTTAATCACTTATCGCTAGTGTTTGTAGAACACTTTTATTTAGGCGAGGGCTCTGTAGGCTGAACAAATGACTTCCCCATTGTATTTTGACAGCCAGTTTTTGGAGAAATATTCATTTTCTTTTCTTTGCTAATTTTACTATGCAAAGCTTAAAGGATACGACTGTTTTTGACAGTTTTTATAGCATCTGTAAATGTTTTGATAGACTCGCAGCTCAATACCCAACACATCACTACTCACGCCACAAATGTGACTCCTGTTTCCACCTGTTTTCTTATGTCTGTGCTTACCTACTAGTTCTTGTTTTTTTACATTTTTTTATTTATAATATTTTTTACTATAAGTAAAATGTACTACTGTACCATACCACGTATCAACCGTTGAATCAAGGTTGGTATAGTTTCGATAGTACTACTGATAGTAACTCTTGGGACTATTGGAAAATATCGGTAGGGCCGAATATGAAAAGCATCCGACCACTTGCTGCTACACTGTCAAGTGTTAGTCGTCCGTCATTAGCACGTTCTAGGGTCGAACTCTATAGCATAATTCAGTTGTTTGAGTAATTAAAAAGAATTGTTTTTACATAAAAACTTAAGATTCGTTTCTGCAAGCAGCTTGTTAAAAAATATCGTGAGAATCAGGCGCAGTATCGTGAGATCTGGGATCCCTGGCCTAAGTTGAAGTCTTGTTCTAATTACTTAGTGAAATCTATTAGTAGATGTAACATCCTATAGTTGTAGCGACGGTTTAACTTCTAGTAGTTTGAAAGGATATTTTTTTTTGTTTGTTATCCCTCTATGATAAGCAATCTAAAAGATAAATATTTCTCTATTTCGAAGTTACTTATTTCTTCTTAAATAAGCTGTACTATAGGATTTTGACTATATATCCTAGATACTACATGGATCACATTAATGTAATCAATTTGTTAACATTTTCTTCTCTTGTATAACACACTGCTTTGTAGAAGAATGGTAGTTTGAAGTTCTGAATAAGGTTATTTTTCAATAGATTTATATGTGTCAGTATAAATGTGTTGATGTGTTATTGGGAGATAATTTTTCCAAATGTATTTTGGATTACTAAGAAATTAATTGGATATTTAAATTTGATAAGCATATTAGACAAAATGTTGATTTAAGATTATTTGATTGATATAATTCTGGTATTTCTGGTAGATGAATAAATGCATCATATGTGATTAGGCGTTTCAAATAATTGTGAAGTGATTTATGCATGTCATTTTGTGCTATTTTTTAAAATAAATTCTTCTTAGTACATACAATCCATACAATATGAAATAACAAAGACCTGATCCTTGTTAGTCGTATAAAGCATTTAAAACTAAACAATAACAGTACACGACGATTTCAATGTCAAGATGAATTATTTTCTG